TCATCAACGTTATTTTAATAAAATGCCTTTGGAATAAAAATATATCTAAAGATAGTTTTCTATTTAAGATACATTAATAATTTAGTTAATTCAGCATGAAATGGAGCTTAGTTGTGTAGCATGAGGCTGTATATTCTGCAATATTGGGGCTGTCGGTGAGTCAACAGCGGGTCCGAGGAGCAGCCGCTGTGGGACAGAGATGACAGTTGCTCTTTAAAAATAATTTAAATTGAGTTGATTTAAATCAAGCCTTTTTATTGATTTAAATTGTGGTTTAAATTGACTTGATTTAAATCAAATCCATCCATGAACACCAACTGGAAGTCAAAGGACGAAAATTCTTTAATTTCACAACACCTAAAGACAAATTTAACCATAGTTCCAATTGGGAAAATGTGACAATCCTTGACCAGGCCAAGTCCAAAAAGGCCAGGGAATTTCTAGAAGCCTGGAGCTCTAACAAATCAGCCATCAATAGACACACAGACATTTAACAGCATCTAAAGACTATGCAAGAGAGATGATCAACCAGCCCAAAAAAAGAACAAAAAGACTCCAGCACCTCTCCATCAGTAATCAGCACCTAGATTAGCATAGATTAACCCCAAGGTCAACTGCAGACCAACAATCAACAAAGCAATACCCCCAATCAAGAAACTGCCAAAGACCCATCAGTAAACAGCCCAACCAAAGAATCCCCCACCCACCCACCCAGACAGCCATGACACCAGAATGTAATCTGACAGTAAACAGCAGTCCTTACTAGCACTGATGATGTTACTAATTAGGGTAATGAAACGTCTGCAAGAAAACTAGCAAGCTCAGAGAGCACCAAGGACCCCTCGTTTCAACCCTAAGGTACAAATATTCTCCTTTATTGGTACTAACTCTTCTTTCCCAGAGGCTGGGGAATCCAATGGGGAAAACCATACCTTGGAGAGATCCACGGCCACATCCAGGTAGTGATCCAGGAAGTTGGCATTCTGTTCTGGGTCCAGCAGCTCGAGGAGAGCGGAGGAAGGGTCTCCTTGATAGCCTCGCCCTATTTTATCCACCTGCATTGCGGAAAGAATAAGTCCGTTGCTGTCACCCAACAGAATAAACAAAACAAAACAAAACAAAGGGAGCCAAATAACTGCAAGGCTGCATTTTGAAACCGCCTCCTCACCTCATCAATCAGGATCAAAGGGTTTTCCGTCTTGGTCTTCTTCAGGCACTGAATGATTTTCCCCGGCATGGCTCCCACATACGTACGTCTGTGTGGAAAGAAGTGCAAGATAAACATGCAGACCCCATAGAATTCTTGCTTGTTTCTTGAGAGTCCATGGGCAAGGGTTAGCAAGAGCAATAGCCCTTAGCCCTGTAGACTACAGAACTTTAGAGCACTCTCTCAGTTTGCAGAGTCAGCCTATCTGGGTTCACATTTTACCGACCTTGGAAGGGTGAAAGGCTGAGTCAACCTTGAGCCCCATTGGGATTGAGCTCCTAATGGGGCTGTGGACAGAGTCAGCCTGCAATACAGCATTATAGCCGCTGGTCCACCAGGGCTCCTATTAGTATTAGCTCTTCAAGGGCGAAATATGCTGGTAGGGCCAAGCATTCGGCAACAGATAGATGCATGATGGGGAACCTATGGGACGCGTGCCAGATGGGGAACCTATGGGACATGTGCTCTGATGGCCCACTCTGATGGCATGCCAGCTGTTGCCCCAGTTCAGCTCTACTGTGCATGCCCGCACGCCTCCCGACGGCCAGCTGGTCTCCGGGTCTCCACCGCGTATGCAGATGTGTGTGCGGGCATGCATGGGGCTCATGCAGGGAGGGTGTCGTGTGCACATGCATGTGTGGGGGAGGTCGTGTGTGCATACATGGGGGGGGGCACATGTAGGGGGTACACATTGCATTTTGGGGGTTTAGGCACACGCACACGCTTTGTGCCCTCGGACTGGAAAAGGTTAGCCATCCCTGAGCTGGACTTTACTCCCCTGAAACAGTGGATGCCGTTTTGAAAAAAGGCCAAAGGTTCCGATTTTCTTTTGCTTGGGAAAAGATGAAGAGCTCTATGGACAGCCCAAAACCTCCATTTGCACAATCGGATACACGGAAGGCCACGAGTGCAGATTGTCCACGACTTACGACCACAACCGGCCCAAAGCTTCGGGTTGTTAAGCGGGGTTTGCCCCATTTTACCACCTTCCTTGCCACAGCCGTTAATTGAATCCCTGCAGTTGATAACGTCAGTGACCCGGTTGTTAAGTGAATCCGGCTTCCCCATCGACTGTGCTTGTCAGAAGGCCACCAAAGGAGAACAACCCCTGACTCTGGGACACTGCGACGGTCAGAAATAGGAAGCAGCCGCCAAGCGCCTGGACTTTGATCATGTGACCACAGGGAGGCTGCAAAGATGGTAAGGGTACAAAATGGTCATACATCACTTTTTTTTCAGCGCCGTTGTAACTTTGAACGGTCACTAAATGAAGTGTTGTAAGTTGAGGGCTACCTGTATAAACAAGTAGTCCTCGACTTATGACCATTTGACGTTAACAAAGGACCTCCCGGGGGGGGACCTCCCGGGGGGGGGAATACTTGCAACCCAGATTCAACGTTCCAATGGTCAGAGTCCCTAACTCGGACATCTAACCACACTTTGGATGCCCAGCAACTAGGCTCCATTTACGGCCATTTTGCAGGGTCTCGTGTGACATACCCTTCTATGATGGTTTTCCAAAAACAGGCCTATATTTTCAGCAAAAACAACTCATAGGGAACCATTGCTTTGCTTAACCCTGCTGCAACAAAGCCTGTAAAAATCCCTGTGGGTGAGCCAAGGTGGAGTCATGAACATTGGGCAGGCTCCGTTATGGTTGTAACTTGAGGACTATCTGTCTACTGAGATTCTCAGTCATCCAGGTTATGGTTGTCTCAAAGGTGCTTTTTCAGGAGGCAACTGGACTTCCTTGTTTTTTCTTTGAAGACATTTTGCTTCTTATCCAAGAAGCTTCTTCAGCTCTGGCAGGATGGTGGGGAATGGAAGGATTTATATTCCTTGCAGACAGCTGGACA